TTATCAGTCATGAAAAACCTCAGCTTTTTTCAGTGTTTCTTGTCCTAACAAGTTACAATGAAGCCTTGTTCTTTACAAGAATGGATAAAAACTTTATTAAAGAGGGGGAATGTATGCAGTGATGTCACAGGTACACAACTAAATCTAACAAACAATACGTCTGTTGTCAAGGATGAAAGTCTTTCAAAGAATGAATAACATATTGCTTCTCTTTCTGACCATGCCAGAGACATTGCAACTCTTAGTACCTTGTTTACTCACATACTGCACCCATTCTCACAAAACCAGCCCTCCAAAAAAATGGAGTGCGTGTTTAGTAGGGAAGCTGATTTTCTTCACTGGAATAGAAGAATGGAAAAGCTGTGCTGTAATGGTCATCACTTCTCTCTGGACCAGCAAGCAAGAGGGGTAAATGTCTAGTTTTAACCCACTCCCAGCTGCTGCCAAGATAGAGGAGTTGTTGTAAATTCAGCAGTGCCTATGAAAAGGTTAACTCTCTAGCTTTTTCCTGAATCATCCAGTGAGCTCGTGGATGGGAAATAAGCTGCTGCTTGTAGACAGCTCTCTCAGCCATGACTCTGGAAAAATCTCTGCCCCCCTCCCCAACATCCTGCCTTCCAAAAACAAGAGCAGGTCTTATCTGGGGGACAGGGAGAGGAGGGAAAGGGATGTGGGACAATATGGTACGAGGAGGGTAGTGCCGTTTAGCCAAGACCAGAACTGTCAAAAGCATTCAGTGCAGCATGAGTGATATGGGTATACTCAGCAAGCAACCCTACAAAATAATTCCTAGCAGAAACCCTCTCAAAAATGGAATTGCTCTCAAATTTAGTCATGCAAATGAAGATTGGCAGCCCATATGGACAACTGTCCCTGGAGTGCTTGTCAAATGCAGTTGCAAAAAAGGATATATAAAAAAATTGTGCAAGTGTCTAAAGGTTAGTCTATCATGTATCAGTGGATCTTCCTGAGGTAGCAATGGCAACTATGTATTTAGTTGACAAATAAGTTGGCATATGCAGCCTGACAAACATCCAAAAGCCATATAAGACCAATTGTGACAACCTCATAACATCAACTTCATTCCCATGCCATTATTAACCCCACTATGTTTAGATTGGCTAAAGGACTGGAAATACATAAGTTTTATATTTCAGGATACAAAAAACATGAACAAACAAACCCAATGCCCCTCCCTTAACCCCCCCCCCAAAAAAAAAAACCCCAAACCCCCAGCATAAGCTGAGAGATGAAAAATGTATATGCATAAGATAATTTGTATTTTATTTATGGTCAATTCAATTATTTGGAAAGGCATCTGAATCAAGTTGCTCTTAAAAGATAAAACCTCATCTAGAAATTCAATTTCTATACACAGCAAACAAAAAAATTCCATGCTGATATCACAGGGCATCATTCCGAAATGGTTCCAACTCTTAGATGTAGATTTCATGCCCAATTTGTTACCATGCTCATCAAACCCATAGCTTGCCAGAAAACATTTCCACTAGTTACTCCACATACTGCTAGGAAAGGTGATGGTGCAACATGCTTAACACCCAGACCATCGTTTTCCTCATGGTTCCCACGAGTCCCCCACTGGAGTAAGTTGTACCCTCACAGATACAGAGGAGCAGCAGCAGCAGCAGCTCTGGGAAAGCTAACTGCACCTAAAGCAGGAAGAGAAGTAAGCTTTTTTTTTTTTTCAGCAGAGAAAGGGCATACAAAGCTTCCAGGCAACCAGTGTATACCTGCTGAGTAATTGCAGCAAGGCAAAGGAATAGAAAGAGTGCAAGAGATCTGCAAGAGAGGCAGCAAAGAACAAACTCCAGGCAACACCACCAACTGTTACCCATATCGGTGTGCCTGGCTACAAGCAGAAACATGGTCTTGCAGTAATACTATCTTGCAGAGATGCTTTCTATAATCTGGCAGGAAAAAGGGAAATAAAACACATATCCATATGTATGTTCAAATGCTTGCCTTCTAGGGTACTGGCTGAAACATAATTCTGACTTTGCTTTGATTTTTCAATTTACCTTGCTGTTCCCTTCCTATGAATAGCCTGAAAATAAAGAGAAGTAAAAAAAATAAGAAATAAATCAAAATACTTTTATAGGTATACTAGAATGACTGTGCTTCCTCTGTCAAAAACATCATTACAAGACAGATTGATGCCTGCAGTACACTTACTTAGAAAGACCAGATTGATGGTATTAGCCTATGGACTAGTCCTCCATAGGTAGAACAGGAAAACTAAATAGCTGGAACTGGGCTACACAAAATACTATTACTGCTTTGAGTGTCAGTGTTCCCGTTCCCGTCCCCACATTGCTGTTTTAGTTTTTAACTCACAAGATGGAAAAAAAAAATCCCACAACCCAAAATACTACTGGGACTGCGCACTGAAGTGAATCACTAGATGATATATAGTTGCTTTGTGGATTATGTACAAAAGAATAAATGGAGAACTCCTGGACTAGACAGCCTAATAGGTTCCATCTAACATATATGTCATCACTAACACAATTCCTAAATTTAATTAAAAATGTTTTGAAGCACAACAAAATTATTAGGATGGAAACCAGTTCCAGATTTTAGCAACCAAAACCCATTCTTCTTTTCATTTTCTAGGTTTCTATTAACAAATTCACTCATGTTATTGGCAACGTAAAATGAGGTGGGCAAGTCCATGCCATGGCAGCAGAAGCAGTTCTACTTCATTGCTGTTGCAACAGCACCCAGATGTACAGACCCTGTGGTGCTGCCATAGCAGCAGTAACTGGTATGGCTAGACTATGTTGTGGCAGCAGGTAAGACTCCCAGAGCAGTCCCTGGAGCAGAATGTAAAACTTCTCCTGCCCTGACCCTACTCCTCACTGCCAGTCTCACACCTCCTCCCCCTGCTCATTATGCTTCTTGAAAATGTTCCCATTTACTTCAATCGAGTTATGCTTGTTGCAAATCTACCCTGCCTTCTGCCTGACTTCAGACTAACATCAAAAACTACCTCACTTTAATGTATCTGACAGCAAAACTGGCTACCTGCAAAATGCAGGAGCTAGAGAAAAAGAAAAGGGATAGAAAAAAAAAGCAGAAAATGTGGCTTTAGTGTTCTTGAGAGGTTCCTTACAGCATTTCAACAACAATTATAGATAGATTTTATATTTCTAGAAAGAAGGAGTTGATTTTCCAACATTTTAGATTTAAAAACCACCAAAAAAACCCTCACCATCTTCTGCTAGACATCGTATTACTTTGGGGTCTTTATACTACCTGTACGCACCAAGAAATTACCACCACCACACCTCCTTGTGGGTATGTGGAAGGAGGAAGGGGGAGACAGCATAAAACAAGTAGTGAAAACTTGCAAGCTCTTTTCATTTAAATTTCTGTTTAGTGATAAATCATCCTTAAACAGTTTACCAACAGAATAAATAGAAGAAGTTTCATTATATAGTTGAGATTACAATCATTAGGCTTTTCCATCACCAAGGGTAAAACTAAGTGTGAGGACTATTAAACAGTGTAAATGTTTCAACTATAAGAACAATTTTGTGGAATAGTTTTAAGCCAATCTACTGTGTAAATATAACAGTCAATAATTCTCAACTTTTCTCATTTTCTCCCATGCTGCTTTGGTCTAAATATATTCATTGCGTTTCAACATAAAATATGGAAGAGTCTCAAGCATCGTCTAGTGTAGAGTATGATACAAAGGCCTGTAATTAGGGAGATATCTGGAGTTTTTTTTCAGCCCCACTTTCAACCTGCTATATGATTTTAAACAAGTACATGAGGGGGGAAGGGAGAAACCAAAACCAACGCCCCACCCTGAATAATCATAACCAGTGTATAATGACTTTGTGAACTTCATTAATTCATTAACAGGGAACTGCTTGGAGATTAATAGGTAGAAGGCCTCTAGTAGTGTTTACAAAAAAACCTGGCCACTCTTGAAATTATGGAACAGTTTAATCTGGGTTTGTGTAATAAAGTAACTCACACATTGTGTTAAACGGAGTGGTGTAAATAAAGAGCTTGTGAAGTGCTTGGCCTATATAATGAAGCATAACATGGCAAAAAATGGGTAGAAAATTCATATGGAAATTAGATAATAAGATGCCTTCTAATGAATTCATTTTTATTAGGCAATCTGATCATTTATAATAAATAAATAATTTGGACAAAGTATTAATACAATTACCATCATGTTCTACCTAAAAATAATAATAATTAAAACTAAATAACACCTGATTCACCATCCTATCATTGTTAAGACAAAGTTGGACAGGTAAATAAGTAATTCATTTACTGTGGTGTTGGTTAAGATATCTGCTCTCCTTTAAGAGAGAATGGAATTAATTATATGATCTCTGTGATGTTTTGGAAAAGTGGTATAGATAGATGCAAGAATAACAATTTAGATGAGTAACATTTTATGAAGATACAACATTTATATTAGTGGTAGGTCATGTAATTACTTTAAACCAAATCCTAGATCCTTGCTCAATGCAATTAAACTGGATTTGCTCCAATTCTTTTAATGATTTGGGGGGAATCATCCTTTCCCCATGAATAGAAAGGGAAAGCACCTGCTAAGGGGGATATCAGAAACTAAACCCATCAAATTCCGCTACAGAAGAGTTCTCATAATTGGATCAACACAATTGCATCCCCATTCACTATGCTCTTAGTTCTACTAAGTCAACTTCTCTTACCTTTGGCACTGTTAAAGAGAGGCAGTTATTATTACATATAGATAATATGTTTTACAACAATCTTCCAAATCACTGCAGCAGCAGTGTTGTAAAATGTCTCAATACATTTTAGAATAATTAATATTGACTATTAAGAGTTTATTTAAAAATGAAAAGAAGCCATTTAGGAACAGTCTAGATTTAAGGTTTCTGCACTAGCTGAGGGTATGGAGGCAATATTTCAAAGTGGTTTCTCCCACCACACCAATACTACAGAACTGAGGGAGACCAATTACTTACTTGGCAGGCATTATAAATCAACTGGTGATCCAATTTTTTGATCCCTAGAATCTGTTGAAACATTTCATAAAGCTGTTCCTTGCTCAGAATAAGTTCCGATACAGCACTTAATGCCATTCTATTCGGCTGTTTGCAAAAGTCCTCTTCTCCCCTGTATATGGCATCGTATTTGGCTAGCCAAGAACTTAACACTGTCTCCTTGCTTAATCCATCAATCTCTGGCAAACTTCGGACCCTCTTTTCTATGTTTTTCTTAAAAACATCTCTAAAGTCATTTGCAGAGCATCCTCCACTGTGAACCATTCGGGCAACTCGGTCACTCTTGAGAAAAACCTTTTGAAACAAAACAAAAACAAAAAATAAAAGTTAGGTGCACATATAAAAACTGACCAAACTAGTGTACTGGAGTTACATATAAGTATTGTGCAATAATAATAAAAAAAAAGAGAGAGTCATAATATAAAATGATAAGCACCAAAGATGTTAAACTTTTCTTTTACATAAATGTATATTCAATAGCTTTTTTTTTTTTTTTTTTTTATAGGTTCCAAGTGGCTCTGATTATTTAAGCAGCAAACAAAACAAAAGAATCCCTGCCTCTACACAGAAATATCACAGCTAAGTATAACAATTTTGAATGAAAAATTATTTAATGTTTTTTCTCCGAGGCTTTTCTCAACCATTCTTCAAGGAGATCCAAAACACCTTGGAAATATTCCCAATGTCCAGAACGTATGTGTATTCCAAATGGAACAAAATAAACAAAATCTATTCCTCCTGAAGACAGAACAAACAGACTTTTTAAGCTCTACTACTATTTTAAAAAACATCAGTAGGGACCTACCAAATTCATGCCGAGAGTGGGTTGTGCAGCAGCTCATTTGAATCTTGAAGGTTCCCCTGTGTGCTCCCCACACTGCTGATTAGTGGAAGGGCCCCGCTGCTCGCTGCTCACTCCTGATCAGCAGGGAGGCAAAAACCACAGTTTTAAATATAGTGCCATTTTTGCCACTTACCACTAATTGGCAGCTCCAGTCTATTGCTGACAGGCAAAAACAGCACCATATTTAAAACCATGGTTTTTGCCTCCCTGCTGATCAGTAGTGGAAGGGGGTAAGGGGCACATGCAGCAGAGCTCTCCCTGGCAGTGAGGTCTGTGGCTGCCCCTGTGCCCACCCGGGACAGCCCATGCCATGCTCCAGCCTGTGCCCACTGGCCTGACCCTGGCCAGCATTCACATCTTCCAGCAGGGCTGCTTCCAGTGAGGCTGCAGCCACCCAAATGCTGCTCTGCTCCCCTTGCCTCCAGTAGTGGCTCCTCCTCCTGCCATGCTGCTCCAGGCCAGGAGGAAGCTTCCGCCAGGCAGCTCCTGCCCCAGTGCACAGAGCTCTGGCTCCAGCTTCCAGCTGCCTTCCACCCACTTACCCACCCAGTGTGATGAGCAGCCACCTCCAGGTGCAGGCTGAAGAATGGCACAGGCTGTCCCAGGCAGGGCTTGGCTTCATGTGAAGCACCACAGAGACAGCCACAGACCACACTGCCTGGGCGAGCTCTGCTGCATGTGCCCTCCCCTACTCCTGATCAGTGGGGCGATGAAAACTGCAGTTTTAAATATGGTGCTGTTTTGCCAGTCAGCAACAGATAGCAAGGCTGCCAGGGCCCCTTGGCCAATCAGCAGCCAGCAGCAAAAATGGCGCCATATTGAAAGCTGTGGTTTTTGCCTCCCTGCTGATTAGGAGTGAGTAGTGAGCAATGAGGCCCTCAGTCCACAGGGAAACCTTCAAGATTAAAGGAGCTTCTGTGCAGCCCACTCCTGTCGTGAATTTGGTACATCAGTAAAGGAAAACGCAGCCCTCAGAAAAATCTGCAATAGTACACAGACACAACAAAGAGCTACAAACTGGAGGAGGCATTACAATAAGAGGTCCAAGGACTGGGAAAAACCATGAAGAAACAGCAGTTGTACTGAAAGGATACTGTAATCCGGGCTAACAGTGAACAGCTAGTGGTTCCAGAAGAGATGCAAGTGGAGCTAATACAGTATAAACTAAAACACAAAAACAAGAACATTCTCTGTGGAAAAAGACAATGTATTAGAAGATAATAAAACAATAGAAATGTAAATGAAAACACAAAACTGTAATAACATCGTTTTTGTTATTTTTTCAGAATGTAAGTATTACTTCACCAAAAACACAGTTTTCTAAACTCCCCCTCCCCAGTACGTGGGACATCCTTCATAGATTGATCCTTGAAGGTCCAATGACCTTCATATCCTTCAGATCTCTCTTACTAATAACTAATGGATAGAGAAAAGTATTTAAGCATAGCATGTGGCAGGCAAACTGAGTTATGCTAAGGCTCTTAGCCAGAGTCTAGGCCTTCCCAGAACTAAGCAATAAAATTGTACTAAGTACCTTATAAAGCAGTGGAAAAAGCAAGTGCTGCAATTGGTACACTGGGTGAACCAGGTACAACAATTTCCCTATAAGATAAAAAAAACAAAAACTGAGTAGGACTGGAGTACCTTATCTAAAAAGATAAGATATGAAACCTGTGGATTGAACAATTTGGGATGAGAAAAATTACAAAAGTAATGAACAAACAAAGAAAGCTACGTGCTCATGCTGTAACTTTGGGGAGACAGGGACAACCATGGATTTTCTGCTTGAATAGCTGGAAAGCCAGAAACAAACATCCCACACACCCGGTGGAGGACCCAGGGCCCAGTACCCCCAAAAGTTGTTGCTGTAACATCTAAAGGAGCCACTTGCCAGGTCACATGAGGAGCAGGAAACCTGTAATAGAGATTAGGGGTTACTATTAAAGTTCACTTTATATCAAATCAGATGAGGGGCCGTGTCAATCCTTAGAGTCTCTGGCAAAAAGAAGCCTATACATAGCTGGTAACATAGCTGGTCATTAAGAAAAGTGTATAAACATATATAATTGTGATTGCATTGCTCTTAACCACCTTTCAAACAGTTTGCCTTCTTATTCTGGAAGTTCTTTAAGAGATTAATAGTTTTTGTGTATTTGGAAAGTACATAGCACATTATGGGCACAATGAGAAAACAAACGACAAAGGCAACAATAAAGTACAGCTGTGATTAAAGATTCCATTTTCCTTCCATGAACAGGAGTATTAAACAAACAAATAGTATTATTGTGCATCGCATAAAAATACCCAAAACAAATTAAATTAAAAGAGAAAGCAAAAGTAAAAAATTAGTTCAATTTGTAAAGTTTTTCTGAACACCCAAAATAATCTGTATTGTCCTATAACCTTTAGATTACAAAAAAAAGTCATGATTAATATTTTTTTAATTGAAAAATATTTCTATTGGAAATAGAAAATATTTCTATATTTTAAAAAAAATATAGAAAAATATTTCTACATTTTTAGCTAATTAAATATGTTCTCTAGTTTCACCTCTTATTTTGTAGACATTGATTTATCACAGGGTTTCTCCCAGTACACCCCTACTGCTGCTCTGGTTGCTGCTACAGCAGGGCTCGCTGGGCTCCCTCTCCCTTTGCTGGGTTTCTCTTCCTGCCCATGCCCCAAGAGGCAGGGCAGCAACAGCCTTCAATGCAGGGGGAGCCACTCACACAGTGCAGTGTAGTCAGGGGGTACCCACCCGTGCAGCGCAGCAATATGGTGGAGAGAGTACCTGCCCACTGTGTTGGAGGGAGCCTACAGCCAGGGAAGTAAGGCAGGGGGACCCTAGCCCCTACAGCATGCAACCTCCAGCTGCTAAGATTTGGACAACTGGTACAGCAAGTGAGGCTTTAGGAATCTAATGCTGGCATGATAAAAAGTAGCTCAAATGTCGCAAAACTGCAAAAAGATATAAACATCACTTAAAAACAAAACTCCAAGATATTGCAAATTTAGCCAATACCATTTGGAATAAATATATTCTGTTGTTTCCTTTGTGTAATCATTTACAATTAAAACAAATTCATTTTTATAGGATCATCAAAGAAAAGCAAATGTAGTAGTAAAGGGGAACTCATGCAGTCTTCACACCTGGCTCTCCTCTTATTTATTTATTCAATTTATATGCCGCTCTTACCAACAACAGCTCAGGGTGGCTTACAATAAGGGGAAAGAGCTCACAATAAGAGAACAGACTAACTTATAAAATAGGACAGTGACAAGAGAACAAAACAATTTAAAATGAAACTAGATGCCCTAAACATGATCTCAGCCTCAGTTTGCCAAACTTCTTCCCAAATAGGAAGATCTTACAGTACTCCTGAAAGATGTCCAGTTTCAGGCTCTGGCAGGCCTCAAGAGGCATTGAGTTGCACAACAAAGAAGCAACAGCTAAGAACAACCTCCCCTATGCTTTTTGCCAAGCAGACTTGGGGTACTAATGGTACTTGCTTGACTTTCAGGATTGTACTGGGCTCTCTTTGACGGCAACAGATTTTCCAGCCCAGTAATGCAAACCTTATAAAATAGGTCCAGACCAAATGAACAGGTGACACACACATGCACGCATGGGCACAAAGTCAGTCATCTGTATTAAAGTCTTCACATCACTGTTTATTTCCAGTACAGCAGATGCATCTAGTAAAAATGTGGAATATGCACGATACATGAAAGTCCTGACACTTCACTGTATCACTTCCTTCCTTTGTGCATATTGATTGAGACTGTGACAAGGAAGGACGTCAGGGTTGCCATGCTCTCCCCTGCTGCCTCCTTTACCATGCTAAGCTGTCGGCTCGCACCCTCGTATTCTCGCCTGCCACAACTTTGATTGTATATATTTTTATAGGGAGGCTGCCTTCCTTCTTCTTGGCCACGGTTGTCCTGTCACCTCCATTTCTTCTACTGTAGTGTGTTTTCCGTACTCCTCAGCCTTATGGGCTATGCATGGCTCCTAGCACCCCAATACCACGCCCCAAGCCTCGCAGATGTCATAGACGTTGTTAGGCCTCTCTGTTCGCGCCCTCTCTAGCGCTCGGGCTCTCCAGTCCCATCTCTCTCTCTCTCTTTCTGTGCCCTTCTCTCCAGGGCCTTCTCAATAGTGCCGCCCTTCTCTCCAGGGCCTTCTCAATAGTTGCCCCATTTCTGGGGCTCACCACGCCCACACTGGGGCTTCTCAACTGCCCCTCTCTGGGGCTGGGGTCTATGTACCCCGTAAGCAGCGCCCTCACTGACGCTGGGGTCCCCACACTATTGTGAGTCCCCTATGAGGCCTCCTCCATCCCCTAATAGCCTCTCCTAAACCACCAGTGTAACCAATAGCAAACACAAACAGTAACATAAACACCAGCCTCTTGGCTACCACATAAACATAAGCCACTAGCTATAACTA